CAAAACAACTACTGAAATTGCCACATTTTTAAAATATGGGTTTCTTAGAAGCAAATCCATATTTTAAAACAGTGTGGCAGGTATTTTTTGTTGTTGTTTTGGTTTTAGAACTTGCAAGGCACGATAGACTCCACAGTTCAAGATCAAAATAATACCTCAACAGTCCAAACAGGTATTTCTGCTTACTTGTTTTTCAATTTCTATTTCTTTGGACTGTAACCAGTAGAAGTCTGCTTTAATTGTAAGTAACTAGTTGAGGCTTCAGAAGCTGAACAAACAGTGGAGCAGCAAGCTGAGAGCATTGTGCAAGGAGAGGAAAATCAGAGTATCCTGAGTTGGAAGGGAATTACAGGGATCATGAAAGTCCAGCTCTTGGCTTTGCACAGACATCCCAACAATCCCAACGTGTGCATCCCTGAGAGCATTGTCCAAATGTTTCTGGAGCTCTGGCAGCCTTGGGGCTGTGCCCATTCCCTGGGCAGCCTGTTCAGTGCCTACCACCCACTGAGGGAAGAACCTTTTCCTAGTACCTAGTCTAATCCTCCCCTGGCACAGCTCCAGGCATTCCCTTGGGTCCTGTCCCTGGTCACACAGAGCAGAAATTAAAGTTGCCCCTCTACTGCCTTCGAGAGGAGCTGCAGCCCCCAGTGAGGTGTGACCTCAGTCTCCTCTCTCCAGCTGAGCCAAATGCCCTCAGCCACTTGTATGGTTTCCACTCCAGAGCCTTCACTATCTCTGTGTCCCTCCTTTGGACTTCTCTAGCAGCTTTAGGTCTTTCTAACATTGTGGCATCCAAAATTACCCCCAGGGCTCGAAGCAAGGACATCCCAGCCCAGAGCAGGACAATGGCCTCTCTCAAGTGGTGCCAGAAGATAGGGACAGTTGTCAAAAATCAGCTGGGGAAACAAACTTAATGGAGAAGCAGGTGATCTTGGCACAGGAAATTGCAGAAACAGAGGAAGAAGAAGATGAGGAGAGTGTTCCTCATAAAAGTGAAGAAAATGAGCATGCAGAACAGGGACTAAGAATTATGCAGGTAAGTGAGCAAGAGAATACATTTGAAAGTGAAGGCAGTCTTGACCAAAATAAGGAGGAATAGGAAGTCTTTTTGCTGAGAATGAATAGAAAGTCCTTTTTTGCGTAGTTTGTATACAAAGCACCCAGGGCTCTAGATCCTTTTATGGGAAAATGGAGTGTATAAAACAGTTCACAACCATTCTTTTTGATAATTTTTCATAATTTTTTTTTTCTAATCCGTCTTTCATCACAGTGTTCTCAGCCTGTAGTGAATGATTTAAGCTAAGTATTTGTACCTACGTATTAGTTTTTCAGTTTCCATGAATTTATTACCGTAACAAAAACGTTTTCAAACATTGTTGACTCTACCTATGTCTTGCTGGCATATATATAAATAAATATATAAATATATAAATATATAAATATACAAATATATAAATATATAAATATATAAATATACAATATATAAATATTGCCAGCACTGTGTAAATGTCCAAATTAAGAATGAGAACATTATTCTAAATATCCTGAGGATTCCTAGACTAGCTGGTGCGCTGTTAATTCTATGCTGATACCTTTAAAAGTAACGTGATAATTTCCCACTGTTTCCCAGTCAGCATCCAAGAGCAGCGAGGCAGAAAGTGCTGAAATTGCCACGGAGATTTTCTCCACTGCTAGTGGAAACACTTTTACTGTTCTTGGAGTTGAAGAGGCAGGAAAGACTGACATCACAGAGAGTTACCTTACAAGTTTTGAAAAAGAAGAATCCCTTCCTATGTATCTGAAATATGTACTTCTCACAGAAGCCATGTTTGTCAAGCTGAAGGAAAGGTAAGTAGAAAACAAATTCTGTTCTTTCCCTTTATGTAACACACAAATTTCAGCTGCTTAGAAGAAACATTAGACTACAGAGGAAAAGTTATCTAATTAGTGTTGTATAATTAGATATTTATATTGTTAGCTATTTAATTATAAAATTGATTGTACAATTATTACATTGTTCCACTTTTGAAATTCATACAAATACGAGAAAATGTTTATATTGCTTTGTATCCATGGCTGTCAAAGTACCATAAAAACATTTACCTTTACAGAATATTCATCATTTAAGGAAAATTATTTAGTGAGACAAGTAATTTGCCCAAATTCCCTGCAAAGCCTTGAAGGTAAAATGCCTGGTACTCAGTAGTATGCAGCTAGCTCAAAAATTCTACCAGTATTATGCAAATGGTACTGAAACCATACCTTCCTATAGCCAGAAGTTAAATTCTTAGAAATTATGTATTTAATAAATTCTTACTTATTATTTGCTGTTCCTCACCATAATATTTCTTTTTCAACCATAGGATTCGCCTCTGCTTTTTTGAGCACTTGGAGAAATGGTTTGCAGAATCCTTGTCAAACTCCTATGTCTTTGTAGCTGCCAAGAAAGAGGAGCTGAATTCAAAACTTCTGCTGCATCTTAAGTTGCATCAAGGAAAGCAGGAGGATATACAGACAAAAATCTACAATGTTCGAGCTGGTATTGACTTTTTTTTTGTATTCTGAGCATCGCATGTGTTCCTAACATGATGGTCCTAAGTGGGCCAAAATCTGTTTCAGCACTAGTTGACTTAGTAGTAGAAGACAATAGAAAGCAGTTGGCTGTCAAGAATTCCCAGTATATTATGTTACTTACATATTTTTAAAATGATATTTCTTTTCTAGAGCTCTTCCTGGTTTGTGCTGTGTTATTTTTGGAAAAATAGACAGTAGTGCCTTGATTAACAACTGGATTGCAGAAGATACTGAACATTCTATTGTCAATGTTTGTGAATTCTCATCCACCTTGAAATTATTTAACAAGAGTCTGTGCTGTACAAAAAATATTTTAAAAGTATTGCAGGAAAAGAAATTAGCAAGTTGGGAGAGCCAAAATGTCAGGGCCAAGCTTCTGAAAACATGAGAGGGAGGATTTAACTCTGTGAAATGTCATTGAGCAGCTACAGAGCATCGTCTAACTAAAACTCTTTTTGCATAGGAAGTGTCAAGTTTTTATGGTGAGAAAAAGGGATTTTAGACAGGTTTCTTGGTCTTTAACACATAAGCAAAAAATTCTGCTTTTGGAGAGCAGGCAAATAATTTTTCAATTTCCCTTTTTCTGCAAAGAGGACAGGTGCTTCTTCTGGCAGCTTTCTTCAGGTGGTTGCCTGGCTCTTGATTTATCCAGCTATCATTCTGGAAGAGAGACCAAAACTGATTTTTTTCCTTCCCTCACAAAACTAGGAAAAGTGAATGATTTTCCATTAAAAAATATGGCCATTGGTTTTGTTACGAGACTGAGAACAGAGAGATAAATGGAGATGTCAGCAATGACCAAAAATAAAGGAAAAAGAATGCTTGGAGCAGACAAGAGACACATGTGGTTTGAATGGATTAGGAGCTGTTAAGGATCTGTGTCTTCCACAGAAGAAAAGTCAAAGAAACCAAATGGAATGTATTTAATTTGTATATTTCAGCTACTATGAGGTATGGCTTTGTTTTATTTTGCTGCTGCTGCTGCTGGTCACAGGTTGACTGGGCATAGTGATAGTTCACAGTAAACAGGGAATAATGTTCCTGTTGTAAAGTTCCTTTCTTCTCAGAGGAACTGTCACTTCACAAAGAGCATCTTGAGCGCCACTGTGCAGTACTGGCAGAAGGCCTGGAAAAGGAGAGAGCTGAATTCCTCAGATTTTCAGGCCAGCTAAATAACCTCAACACACACTTCAATTCCCGAGTCAGTCACTTGGAGTTTGAGTTGCTCCACGCTCCTGTGACTGAGCAGTAAGTGTGCCACTGCTGTTGCTGTGAATCTCCCTAGTTAAATACTCCTGATTTCTGTCTGAGGTGTTTATGGTTTGCATTCTGAACCTGTTCTTTCATATGTTATTGCTCTTCAATGAAGACTACTTGATAAAACTTGAAAACATGTAAAGAATTTCATTCTCTTGCCCTGAAGAAATTAAAATCAGGACTGAACACCTGGAAATTTTCATCTGACAGTCTTTAAGTAGAAAAGATGTTTCACTGGTTTAGATTTTATCCAGTTTACTGAACATGCACTGTAAGAGCAGCTGACTAATTGTTTTTGAAGAAAAAGACGCAATAGTATCAGCTGTTGCTGATACCTTCCATGGGTTCATCCAAACCATCCCAACTTGGGGAGCTGCTTTGAGAGTCATAAATCACTTCTGAGTCCTCAGATTTGCTCATGTCTTTACAGCCAGCAGTTGTTGAATCATTGTGTTGTGTTCCTTTTCAGACATCTTTCCTTATCTTTTATTATTTGCTGTTAGGTCAGCTTCTTCCAGCAACAATCTGGAATCAGAGCTCCAGAACCACCTGGAGTCAATCAGGGTTACTGTGAGAAGTTACCAGCAGCACTTGGAGGAAGCTTTAGGAAAATTAAGGGATTCAAATGTGGATTTTTCTCAAAAGTTGCAGGTATATAGATTTCATAGAAGTGTTGTTTATAAATGGTGACCGAGTTCTGGGAATCAGCGTTTGTTGCACAGGCAGAAGAGTCAAAGTAAATTTTATTTTGTTATTCATCTAGTTTCCCATTTAAAAAAATAAATGCATCTTGTTAAAGCACAATTATTATGCTGTTTTCATCACATTTGTGTTGATATATATGTTTCAGGGCTGTTGAGCTGAAACAGTCTTGGGGAAAAAGATGACTCACAGCCAATTGTTTTTATGTTTGCTTTCAGATTATTTTCAGAGGTCGGTAACTTTTCTTCTGAGGAGGTAAAGTTTTTCAGCAAGTGTCTTCAGAAAGAAAGTAAAGAAATTGACTCCTTTGAAAGTTCAATCAAAACAGATGTGGAGCAAATAAAATCGAGCTGCTTGGAGCAGGTATGCAGAATTACATTATTTCAAATTATGTTTTCTGTTGACATATTTGATGGGATTTGCAGTCAGCCTGCTTTCAGATTAGAACTGTAAATCTGTTCTGTTTGGCAATTACATGATGGAAAAAATTAGTAAAAATGGCAAGGTCTATCACTTCAGTTTTAAAAAGTGAAAAATTATCTTGTTCTGTCTTTTGTTTCTGACACTCTTAAAGGCTACAGAACTGTTCAAGCAGTCTCAAAAAAGGTTTGCTTCTCTCTCTCTGAGTCGAGCCTTTATGAGGAAGGTCCCTCAATCTTTGAGGAGGTTACGACAGCAAATCAAATCAGAGGTACAAACAGAAACATCAGAACTTTGCTTAAATTCGTTATAATAATTTTCTTTTTTATACCTTTTAGTATATTTTGGCTGAATTCATAGTGGATAAATATTACATTATTTTTATGTTGATTTCAAACCTGTTTTCTATCTATCTGCTATTTTCAGCAGTCACTATCTGCTGAAAAGCTTATTTTTAATAGTGCTGACACTGTGCTGGCACGCTATGGCCTTGGAGCACATTGAGTGTATACATCTGAATTCACCAGCATTTTTGTGTGGTGCAGCAAACAACGTGAAGCATTGCTTTTGTGAATTACTGTTTTCAGCTTCTCCTCTGAGTACCAGGGATTTTTAACCAGTTTTTATCAGTGGTTCTAATGGTCTAATGGTAATGAAAGTGGAGCCTCTGAAACTCCTGTGGATGGGGACTTTACTTCTCTGGTGTTTGCTTCTGCTTTAGGTAGCGAATTCCAATTTGCAGTCAGCCACATGAAAGTCTTACCTGGAAAAGCTCCAGCAGAAGAGAGATGCTTATGTTTGTTCTACTGCAGATAAAGAAGTAACTTCTCATCAGCATAAAATGGTACTTAATTTGATTTGTTATTAATTGTTATTAATTTGGTAAAAAGTAGTATTTTTGAGGAAGACTTACATTTCCTCATATTTGGGGCTGGGCAGGAACACAGAATTTTTGCTCAGAAAGATCCTTGTCCTGGATTCAGCTGGGATGGAGTTAATTTCTTCTCAGTAGCTGTTGCAGTGTTGTGTTTTGGGTTCAGAATGAGAATGGTGTTGATAAATCAGTTTTTGCTAAGTTGTACTTATCCTAAGTCAAGGACTTTTTTTCCTTGTCTCCTGCTCTGCCACTGAGGGGGTTCACAAAGGAAACTGGCAGGGAGCATAGCTGAGACAGGTGACCCAAACTGGCCAAAGGGATATTGCAGCCCATGGGATGTCACATCCAGTCTGTAAACTGGGAGAGTTATCTGGGAGGGGCAGTCTGGGTTCAGGAAGGGGCTCTGGCATCGGTCAGCAGGTGGTGATGGTATTGTGCATCACTTGTTTTTCACTTACTATTATTGTTATTATTGCTGTTGTTACTATTATTATTATTATTACTATTTATTTATTTACCATTATCACTGTATTTCACTTTACTTTCAATTATTAAACTGTTCTTATCTCAATATACATGTTTGCCTTTGATTCTGCTCCCCATTTCACCAGGGCAAGGAGGGAGAGAAGGAGGGTTGAGTTGTGCAGTGCTTAATTTCTAGCTGCGTTTAAAACCACAATAGTCCTTTTTGGACAACCTGTTTTCCTGTTTACCAAACCAAAACCTCAGCCTCGTATACAATCTCATTTCTTCCATGTATGTGTACATAAACTGGTGGCAGAACAGAGGCAAATATGTTGTTTGCAAGAGTCAGCATGTTTGAAAAGGTTAGAACAGTTAGTTTAGTAAATACCATCTGTCTTACCATCTTTTTCAGGCTTTAACTTCTGAAAAGTTGTATGATTTAGCCAGAGA